GCATACTCTATTGATGGAAAAATTCTCTAGTTTGGATGCAACGGCATTCTACTCCACAGCTTTTTGCTTTCCATGGGATCAGAAACCCTGTACTGCATATTTGATTTTAACAAGGTCCTTCACACGGAGCTCCTTCATAAATGTAGCTGTCCCAGGATATTTACTGACAGGAGCAATGTCAGTAACTAGTTAAAGAACAGAAAGCTTGAGCAATAGATAGACAGTATTTACAATGGAGGGACTAAGCAGGATTTATATTGAGTGGGGTTAGTATAGATAAAAACCAGGTTTGTAAGTGACCTCATTGAAATCAGACTGAAGAGGGGAGATCTCCCAAAATGGTGAATCAGCAAGAAAATAGTGAAAGCTTTAATGCAATTTTCTACAATGAGTTTTTTTTTTAAAAAAAAAAAAAATGGTTCTCTTTATTTAGAGTTGAATTGGTCTGATTGTCTAGGGATGTTGGGACCATTACAAAAATGTATATTTGGTGAAAGTGGCAGTGATAATGCAGACTAACGATTAAAAACTGTTAGGATAGGTATGTAACTTTATATTTTACATAACACAGAGTTATATTATGGAGTTTATGCAGGTTGCAATGATGGCTGCTATTATAGATTGATTTTGAGAAAAGTTGTTAGATAACCTTATGGAGAGAGGTCTGGTTTCTCTAGCCATTACTTGCTTAAATTGGTGTTCTCCCAGGGCTTTACAGGCTGGGAAATTCTGGGGGTTGTAGCCTCAACACATCTGGAGGGTTTCAAGTTTGGGAAACCAAAGGGTACAATCAAAAGCTGTACCCTAAATTTCAGGGATGGGCAACTTTTCTATGTGTATCTCTTTGCCTCTGTGTACAGAGTGCATTTCTTATACTTTGCTGGCCAAGAGCTACAGTCAGCAAAACAACATACAATAATCACGTTTCTGGAAATGGGTTAGATGTTTTCTTCTCAGTGTTCTGAGGATGTAAATTCCATCTTTTCATGGAGAAGCACACTGTCAAATTCGAATGCATGCCAAAGGGTTCAGTGTTAAGAGTGATAGGTTGCTCTCCATGCTATACATAAATGTTGAACCTACTCTCCAAACACGAGTCCTTATGTAGTCAAAATGCCACCATCTATTTTCAAGTGGAAGATGCAGGAAGGGAGGTTTCCAGAAATAACCCCCAAATAAAAATATTAACAAAATTAGGAACACTCCAGAACAGGCCAGTGAAAACTGTTTGGCTCCCAGTTTTTCACACTTGGACAGTGCTAAAATATCATGGAAGTTGACATGGCTGGCTAGAACCGCATGAGAGTTAAATAGGGGAGGGCTGTTCTTTTAATGCAACGTTCATAGGGTTCCTGAAGCCAACTGTAGCTGGAAAAGAACGTTGGATTTTCTACTCCTACTGATATCCTTTTTGGTTTTATACAGCACACATGTTCCAGGCACTGTCCAGTAATTCAGAATAACTCAACCCCTGTCATAAAAGTCATCTTAATAAGCATGATGAAGAAGAAGAAAATAAGCAAATTCAGGTGCCAAATAAAAATGTGCAGATTTATAGTTCTATTATTCCACTGGAACGATTGCTTATGGACTTTGGAGAGTAAGAGTCAAATGTCATTGTGGCATCTTTCCCAGATATCCAGCTAGGTAGAAACCCATAAGTCAAGCCTGTTCATATAGTGGATAAATAGTAAACACGTTTAGTGAAGAATTTAAATTAGAACTGTTCCTTTTATCAGTGCACCTTGTCTGGGACAAGGCAACAAATGTTCTGTATTCCTACATATTCTAGTTCTGAGGATTTTTATTCCATAATTCTATTTAAAGGCAGGAATACCCTTTTTTCAATTTGGAAATGGTGTATATTTGTGAATGTATTTGAAAATATATTTGGAAACCAAATTAGAGAATCCCAAAGTGGCATTTTGATTTTTTCAATCAATGAATCAAAATTTATTTATGCTCCCAGACCAAACACAATTAGTTTTACAGTATTGGTGTCATTTTAATGATTAACTTTCTATTTTCAAATTTACCACATTTCAAGATTGAACCATTTAGTTTAAAATGCAAACTTATACTCTTATTTTTAATGAATAGTTTTTAAAATGGTAAATGTCTTCTATGCATAGGCCAGAAGGTGGCACTCACCCTCCACAGATGTTAATGATGGAATCCCAAGAGGTTGGCATGAATGGAATGTAGCTCAGAAACAGGAATATTAAATAATTGCATATATTTTCTCATAGATACACATCAAAGATAAGGCTTTTATTTCCTCAGTTATGTGTGTAGGAATCATCCTAATCACAAAACGTTTTTGTGTTATCCCCTCTGAAGGACATTGGCAAATTCTTAACTATAATTTTATAATTGGCTAGTTCCATCCATTTTTGTTGCAGTTTGTAACTTAGAATTGACATGCAAACATACAGGAACAATTTATGAGGCTGGGTTATAGTGTACTGTATGAATAATGCCTTATAATAATGTTCTTTTCAGCTAACCTTAGCTGACACCCGAACTATGAACCATATTATTCAAATCTGTCTTGACTTCTACTTTGTATTCACTGTTGAATCTATAAAATTTAAGTGGCACTAATACTTGGCTCCCTTAGAATCCAGAGAATAAAATTATCGGCATACTGTTCTTTCAAAACTTTTGGGCTTTCACAATTGCTTAATAAAACTTTTAATAAATTCTTACTGCATACTTTTTTGTTCAGATCAGGGATGAAGTTGTTAGGTAGAGTGTTTTTCACTCTAACTAAATGCTTTCAAGTTAGAAAACAATTTGCTTAATTTAGTGGATAATACAAAAAGCCTGGTGAGGATAGCATCCTGTTTTCTTCATGCTGTTGTTGCCATACAACTGGCATTTCAACTCACAATACCTCCAACTGTAGAAATTATATATAAATACCTTGACTTTCAATAGTGGCCCAGCCTTAAGTCTTCTTGAATTTAATTCCCTTTATAAGTTAACTTACTAGCAATCACCATATCTTGTAAAAACTGTCTTCCTAATTTAAAAAGTAATACAGATTAATATACTAAGTATAGGTCTGCATTAACGGTTTCAAAAATACTGTTCTGGTTAATAGTATGAACTTTTAAAATAGTTCCCATGGTTGTTTTAACCCTACTACATAAGCTTTCTAGAGTTGCTTTAGTAATGAAGGTAGCATACAAATAGATACATAAAAATATTTGATGTTTTCTATCAAGGCAGTTAAAACACATTTGATAAGAAAGCAGACCTACATGTTTCCATACTTCCTGTATGTTCCTTTTTAAGTGCAAATACGTTACTGTATACAGTTAAGAGTGGCTTGCGTTAATAAACTCACAGATCAGATATTCTAAAAATCTTGAAAAAGAAATAGAATGTAAGACAGTTCCATGAAGTTACTATCATCTAAATTCTGGTTGTGATGTTATTGATCCTTATCTCCCCTTCCCCATCCACCCCCATAAACAAATGCTTGTAAATATGACAGCATGTACATTGCTTTTATCGCTTCATAAAATATTAGATTTGGTTGCACCATATATTTTAAGTATGAGAATCTTGAATATTGCAAATATGCAGTAAAACTAGAGATGCTGATATGTTTAAACCATGATATAATAAAATCTGCAAGAATGCAAAAATAAGTTATCAAATGCTAAGTTATTTTAGCTAAGCAGAGTATAAGATAATTTTCCATTGTCTCTTCAACTAATAGTGCAACCATTAATAATAAGAATCTGAAAAATCAACGTAATTTATTACCTGAAGTAGTAATTTATGTTTTAGACTGGCATGACTAATCCAAAAGTGTTTAACACTCAAACAGTAAATAATTGCTACATGTTCTCAGTGCTCATTATACGTTTTCCCCCTAACAAGTAGTGAAAAATCGATCATCTTAAAAATTGTCCTGCCTTTGTTAAGGAACATGTATTCAAATGCAACATGAAATGCTACGTAGTTTGAAAGAAGAGAAACAGGGCAAGTGACTCATAATTTGTTACTTGAGGTTGCTCTGGGGAAATACTCTATATAGAATAGTGAAAAGTTCATTAACCTGATTTAATTTCTGTGATTCTGCTTTGAAAAAGATTATGCCACATGAAGGTCTCTTTAAAGAGAACAGTATTTACTTTGTCTTTCAATCCACCCCCATTGAACAGAAATAATGGGGACGCATCTGAGTGGGCACTTGATGGCTCTGTTATCTTCGGAAAACCCTGTGTGGCGGATTGCTTGGGGCAGCTTCTCTATTCAGATTAGGGCCAGTTTTTCCCCAGGATCTCTGGATAGATTTGATGTTAAGGGCGAAGAAAGACAGCTGCACCAAACTGCGCAGCACCACCCACACACCTGTTCATTTTGGTGAAAGTGCTATAGGCCTCAGGTGGAGCTTCCGCCTTTTCCTGTAAGAGTCTCCAGAGCACACCCAGGTGCCCATGCCACATTGCTTTTGCAACAGATTTTTTTTTTTAGCCTGCTGCAACTGCTTCTGCTGAACATGCTTTGCAGTTTGGCTGAAGAGGGAAATTAAAACCTCATTCTGAGAGCTGTAAAGGAACTGAGCACATCCCCATGATCTTACAGGAGGCAAGTTCAGGATAACTGCTACAAAACAATATCTGTATGAGGAAATTAGGGTTATAGGAGGACAAGATTAAAGGAGCATAGTTGCATAGTGATGAGAACTGATAGAAGTGCAACAATATGCATATGCTTACAATTTAAATTCTGCTGAAGTCCATCTTACTCTTAGCTAGAATTGCAACCTTAACACAATACCATAAAATGACATTTAATTCTTTTTAGGAGAGGTTGATGCTTAGAACAGCCAAAGTTTAATCAATAACATGAGAGTGACTTTCATTTCTCAGCAGCTTAGTCACATAGAGAAGCTGCTGCAACTTACTAATACCCTTTCCTTGAAATATTGCAGATTCATATAAACTTTTGAGTTTAGTATTTATACATCATTAGCTTTTACATTTTTTTTTTTTTTTACAAGAACTGAACAGTTGGGGAAGTTGACAGCCCTCTGCTATTCCTAATTTCTGCATAATCAACCAAAAGAAGCAAGTTCATCAAAGGTGGAGTAGTTGCTTCCAGAAGTTCACATAGCCAATCAACAGAGGGCAAAGGGAAAACATGCAAAGGAGTTTCTTCTGCACAACTGAGTTCAATTCTGCTTCTAAAGTTCAAACTTCTCAAGGTAATGAACAACTTAAACAGTTTCTCTTCAAACAGATTTGGACTTTTTTTTTTTTTAAACAAGCAACTTTCAAACACAATTTCTCAGAGAAAATAAAGAACCTCTAGGACATACAATCTACACAGAATGTAATGAATGCTGCCAATTTATTTGCTCTGCCACAAAACAGCTGGTACTTACAAAGAAGGCAAACAAGCTGTTCAATGAACACACAATTTATTTTGATTCTGTATAAAAAGGTTAAGTTTACAACTAAACTTTTATAAAAAGTTCAGCATGATTAGGTACATCATAACATTTTTTGCAGAAATATACATTTCTGCTACTATACAAGAAAACTCTAATTAAAGAGTTCAAAGTTTCATTCCCATATTTATATATAAATATGTACACAGCATTCAGTCCTATACGCATGTCAAAAAAAGATAATTTTTGACCAAGACTTCACAGAAAACTGAACACTAAATCTTCTAGTACTCACGCTCCACCTTTTGGAGGAAAAAAGGCAAAGTCTGCTTTAAAAGGGACAATTCCTTAAAGAGGTTCTTTTGAAAGTTTCATTTCGCTCCCTACTGTGGGAATAGTATATAAATGAAGCCTTTCCAGCTAGGGAAAGGGCATTTTAAAAGTCTCTTCATAAATAATTAAGATTAGTCCAAGATGAAGAACAGTGGAAGATGATATCCATTAGTTTTTCTTTAAAATGTTCATTTAATTGAATATGGATTTCCCCCCTCCAGATATAGCTGGAAACAGACAGAACTGCTGGGGGATGTATCTTCTTGTGCAAAAATTCAGCAAACACCTGCAAAAAATTGAAGAGAAGCATATTTAGAGGAATGCTAACAGGGCAGAGATCCGGACAGACTGGCGCCAGAGAGGAAACCACAGTTTGAACATTTAGCCAAACACTCAAAGATTGGGCAAACCCTGGCGTCCAGATGCAGCATGTGCATGCAAATGTGTGCTCTGTGTTACACACACACAATGAAATAAGTATATTCAAGAGGGTACATGATTGGACAGGAAAGGGGCTCTTCTAATCTTATTTAAACTGTCTTAGAGGGACATTAGACAGCACAACAGTTACAGCAACGCTTTGATCAAAAGCTCTTCAGCTGATCCCAGGAGTGATCCTAGGCCACACCATAAGTTTCGCTATCCCCTTAGGTTAAAATCTTAGCAGACTTGGTCTGAATTTATGGCAAGTACCCAGAAGCCGACATAATGCCTCAGCTGACACAAAATGTTACCCAGGTCTGAACAACAGCCCTCTCCTTGTCACACCTCCATACATAAAATCCTAAAAAAAAAAAGAATTCAGCACTTACCAATACATTTAGCCACAAAGTGCTTTGCTCTCATTTGACATTAACTCTGAGGGAAATTCAGCTGCCTGCAACGGGGGAAAAGGAGAAGGGAAAAGCTCGGTGTTAAGACCTTGAGCAGTTCAAGGAAGCTTACAAAGTACTCCAGGCTACTTCGAACGTGACCAACAATAGTGATCATTTGCCAACAATGGATGGCATGACACCACCAAGGAACCCCAGATATCTTACAGTTTTGTTTTGTATTTTTTTTTACGCCAATCACGACCTTAAACAAGGCACTCCTGACCAAACCAGGCGAGCAGATTTAGAACAATGCCGTTGATCCACTCCTGTTTAAGGGGCGACATGCGAAAGAGCCAAGGAGTCGAGCAAGGGCGGGGGAGAAGCTTACCTGTAGTGACAAGACGCTGATGTCTGTGTTTAAGGTGGTCAGAGGAGTTCTGGAGGAAGGATTCTGTCCCGGTCTCTGATGATGGAGGGTGACGATGCTGGGGTGCGTGTCGAGGGCGATCTGCAGGTCCAGGATGTAGTCAATAACGTGTTGCAGGATTTCCATCTTGCTCACTTTCTTGTTCTGAGGAATGCTGGGCACCAGCTCTTTCAGCTTCGAGTAACAGTCGTTCATGTTATAGAGCAAACTCATAGGGTCATCCACCGGGGTTTTACTTCGGGAAATCCCCAGACTGTGTTCCGAAAGGCTGTTTTTCCTGACGGATCGCACCGGGCTGAAGGCTTTCATGCTGCAGAAGACGGAAGACCGAGCCGGCCGGCTTGCCTGCCTTTAAACCCACGACACACTCCGCCACGGAGAGGGGAATTCGCTCTTCTTCGGCCCTGCCTGCCTTTCCGCTTTCTCCTTCCTCCCTGCAGCTGCCCGCTCTACAGTCAGAATGAAGCCGAACCCCCCCACTGCTCCTGCTTTTATACTGCACGTCTCGCAGCTGACAAATCCGGGTTCCACTCGCCGCTATTGGAGGCCCGATACACGTCCGTCAAGAGCCAAGGCGCTTCTCATTGGTACAAACATCACCCAAAGGGCGGTTCGGACCTTCCGCGTTTGGAGCCAATCTTGGCCAAGGGGGCGTACCCAAAGCACAGCTGTGGCTAGTAAATATACAGTACGCTGGCGCCGGGGGTGGGGTGTGGGGGGGGAGGAGATATGCCGAGCCTTGATTCAACTCGAGGCAATCTCGAAAGGACTTTGAGAAGGAGCGAAACGGTCATTTGTTTACGAATTTGTTCAATCAATTCTGACGCGGGAAAGCCAGGTCGGGGCATTCAGCACAACTGGCTGGCGCTCTTCGGAACAACAGCTAGTGTTAAGAGTGGATTTAAGTAAGGTTACCTTAGACTAAATCCGCAAGCGTGGCTTTAGATGCATTGTGTGCCTAAAAGGGAAAGGAGGCACAGAGCAAGTATTGTCAGGACAGGAAAGAACAGTGGCTTCCCCCTTTCAGTCTTGCTCGCTGCCATGTATGTCGTCCAAAGCGCTCCAAATTCTGCAGTCCCAGCGAACTCCTTCGGAGGCAGGCAGAGTGACAGCTGTGGGAACTGCTCCAGAATAAAAGGCCCGTCCGTTTTCAGGACAAGGCAGTCCTTGAATTTTACAAGTATGCTAAATTAGCCGTGCAGTTAATTGGAGAGCGCTCATCTAATCTGCCTATTGAATACCTGGATTATACACATACGCTACGTTGTGTCAGCGCATTGCTTCTTTCATGCGTGTAGGGCAATTGGTTAGGCATACAGTACCTAACTATCCCTACACCCACCACTGCCAGAAACATTTCAAACACAGAATGCAAGTTTGTCTTTCATTGGTGTTCTAGGGAGGTACTCCACCCCTGAACAAAACACTCCAATGGGATCATAGCATTCGGTTACAAGATGATAGTTCATTTAATAGTCCCACTAACTTCTAACACTTAAGCTGTATATTTGCAAGATCTGCAAAACACATTCCACCACATTATTACTAGCTTTGAGAGAACTACCATGAGTATTTGGCAAGACTATATATGCAACTAGTCCTTCCTTGCCTTTTGCCTTCTTTTGGCTACCAAAAGGAATCTAAATGGATTTTGACAACTCTGAATTCAGGATCTGATCATCCACTGCAATTTGATGCATTTTCTCCCAGACAATTGCAGTCTACATTAAGCTATTGTAAATCTTGACTAATATACACCTGCCATGAACACCAGTAGAATCCTACATTCTCCTTCCATATTCTTATTTGGTAGATGTACACTGGTGGCAGTGATCCTCATCTAAAGAGATAATTCCCTATTATATTACAACTATAGAAACTGGGGCCCCACAACACTCCCTCAATGAGGTTGGATTTACCTATCACTTTAAACCATAATACAGTTTGCTTGCTTGTGATTGTATGTTATGCAAATCCAAGTATTACGATTTGCAAATTAATAGTTGAATGTGTTGGCAAACTCAACCAATTAAGGTATATTGAATCACACACACCTAAGCAAATTAAGGCTATTTATGCACTTTCTCTTCCATCTTGTAAAAAAATCACTGAAGTGAGGGTTTAATGTGAATGGGACTAATTGAGTAGTGTTTGCTTCCTGGAACCTGAACACTCATTCTGCCCTCCCTCTTCTTCCCCATTCCTTCTCATTTCGTGCTTCAGTATGTGATTGTTCCACAATGATGGGTTGAATGTAGGCTTGAGACACTGATTACCCATTGGTATTGGTTGCACAAATTAATCCTAATGAAGGTCCTACTTATTTAAATAGATCTAAGCATGATTAAGTCTGGAATCTTGTACAGAGTACACTTCATGTGCAGTAGGATCCATATTTCACTTCTAGCAACTCTCAGTGGGTGCTACAAAATCCTGTACTCCTCTCTAAAGCTCTGTAGAACAGATACTGGTTACTGCGCATCACCTTCATCTGCACCCACTAATACTATGCTGGCTGGAAGAGATGAAAGTTCTACCAATAGAGGTGAATATTCTAATGAAAATTCTAATCCAACACATCTAGAGAGCAGAGCAAATTGAGCGAAGAGTACCCTGAAAAGATATATGCAGTCCTGTGCATTTAAAATGTTTTATTCAACAATTTAGTTGCACTTTATGAAATGGAAGATTACTAGAATTTATAATTTTACATACATTGCAAGGGATTTCCAAGTAACAAAGCAGGAAACTGGCTACAAGGAAGCCATGGAAATATGGCTACAATCCAACTGAAGACAGAAACAAACAGTGTGGTCTTAAGTGAGTTTACTTAGAAGTAAAGTTCACTGAGCTTCTCTGTGGAATATTCTTTGGATGCTTGAGCAGAACTGCAGCTGAGTGTTTACTGCCAAAGAAATGTTCCAGGATGACAACATTGCTTACAATAACTAGAACAAGATTAAAAAACACACAGGATCATGACCATAGACTTGAACGTGTTTGTCTCAAGTAATACTTATTTGTTCATTTACTTATACATGTATTTAAAAAATGCCCAGCTCCCAGCAACTTTAGTGGTTGTTGTTGAAGACTCTGAATTAGTACATTCCCCCTTAAGTTAGACGTACAATTCCATGGTTTTTAATTTGGACTAGACCATATGCTAATACAATAACGAATTGCAGTGATAAATATTGTTTTATGTCCAAAGGGTAGGTGAGTGAATCTTAAATGAGAATTGGACAAATTCATAGACACCATGCAGTCTTGCAGAATATATTGCTGTCATTTTGAAATACGATGGGATAGTAGTCATAATGAAAGAGAATCCTTTAACAGTAGCAACATTTTCAACTTTACACTTCTGATAAAAGTCATGTTACCGTTTCTACTACTCGCAGTGTTAGCTTTGCAGTTACAATTATACTAACCTTAATAAGATTGACACAATTGCTTGTCAATTTAGTTTTTTAATATACTAATACAGGACAGGAGAGACAGCCTTTCTTCATGGCTCCAGTTTTCAAGGACAAGTCAAAACAGTTCTTTTAATGCCACGAAGCAAGTATTAAGAGGCGAAAAGGCATGGCGTTCATTTTAGCATGTTGTACAAACTCAATCCATAGGGTTAACGTAACATTCAAGTATGTCGTACCAACTGGAAAAACTGAGCTGAGTAAAACACGGTGAAACATGTTGCAAATCGAGGAGAAAGAAGCCTACCCCACGTCTCACGCTGAGACACCTTGCCCAAAGCAATGCCTTCTTTTTTCTCATGCCTGTGCACTGCGAGCTTGGGCAGTAGCCGCTACACTTCTTAAACACACGGCTACAATTCCTTCCTTTCGGTTGTAGGAACTTCGTAAATACTGGATTACGGAACGAGACGGAAATCAGAGTCCCGTAAACTTTTTGATAGGGGAAAAAGGTGCAGGAAGGGCATACTTGGGCTAAACCTTTAACAGGAATAGGTCTGAAGTTTTCCATCACTCCCGCCTCGCTTGTTACCACAGGAAGGCGGCGGAAAGAATGTTGGCCGGGGATGCCACACCTGGCAAAGAGAGCAATACCCTTTCAGGTATTCTCCTATCTCCCGCCACTGCAAGCGGGGTGCACTTGCTTTCGCGCCTGATTGATGCGTCTCGCTCTCCCCGTCCACAGACACGCAGGCTTCCCAGAGCAGGAAGGCAATGAAGCGGGTGTCCAGCACCCCGCGGCCCACTCGCGCTCGCTGAAAACCTCCCCCCAGCCGCCCTGCCTCCAGCGAGCGCGCAACCAAGTCCGCCTCCCGCGCGCCCCGGCTGCTGCACCTGGCTGGCGCGGGCAACGGCCCGAGAAGTTTCCCGGAGTCAGCGCGAGGGCACCGGCGCCTCTTCCCCTTCCAGCTCAAGGCCGCCCCCGCCCACCTCCTTCCCTCCCTTCCAGAGGCCGGGCCCGACTCCTCGGCGCCAGCGCCGTGACGTCACCCCCCGCTGCCTAGCCTCCCTCCCGGTTCAGGCCGGCGGCGCCTCTCAGGCGGCTGCCATGGAGACCGGGGCTCGGCCCTGGGCTGTGGGAGGCTGCTGCAGGGCTCAGCTTGGCGGCGGGAGCCGCAACGGTGGCGGGAGCTGTGCTTTTTCCCGGGCCGCACCTGCACTGGAGCCGGGCAGCTCTGGCTAAGGGGCGCGCACGTGCAAACGAATCCAGGACGCGCCCTCCCTGCCTCGCGGCCTCCCTGGGCTCCTTCCGCGACTGGCTTTGAGAGCGCACCTACCTGAAGAAGGAGCGGTGGGCTCCGCCTCCTATTCTTAAGTGCTCTTATCTGCTGCGAAGGGCTTCCCGACTCCATGGTAATTTCTGGCACCAAGTCATTCCCACAGAAGAACCCTGCCGTTTCTGACTGCGTTAGAGCTGTTAGATTTGGCCTGTAAAAATTCGGACCACCATGAGGTGACAGCAGAGCTACGTTTCTGTATCTCTTTCCTGCCATCTCTTGACCGTCCGGATTTTGCAACCCAAGATTTGGTAGTTATAGATTGCATTCTAGCTATGTGGTCGCTAGGAGTCGAAAATGACGTGATGGTACATAATACAGATAATCAAATTGCATTCCTCGATGCAAGACATACTTGTGCAAATGCGTGAGAGATAAGGGTAGGGGTGCACCGTGCGCCTATTTTGCTGGGAGAGGAAACTCCTGTGAGATTCTTGGGGAGGGTACTAAAGATAGACCTACAGCCCCGTCTAAATCCTATGTAATCAGTTTATGTTTTCTATACATAAACTAAGTTTGTCAACAATTTAGACTACTGTTTGGAGTGATGGCTATCGAAGAGCCTTAAAATTAAATGTTGGATATTTCAGTCCTATTCATCTGGGGGAGCAGTCCCACTGATGAATTTACCGACTGGCATACTGTGAGAACAAAACGATAGCGATCAACTATTTTAAAAGATACCGAAATCTCCCCACGTTTACCTGTAGTTTTTGCCTCATTAATAGAGAT